GACAGGTACCCGCAATAATGGCGGAGCCGCCACACCCTCTCGTCTCAATTCTTGTGTGATGGTCAATTATGGCTGCCACACTGGAAGGACATCAATCATGGGTGGAACCAGAATCCAATGGTCACCTGCGAGTAGCGAGAACGAGCTAATACAGAAGGCAAAGGAAGAAGCTAGGATGACGACGAGAGAAGACGTCACCCGGTCGGAGCAGCTCCCTGCTATGAAATTAATAAGCCTAAACATGGCCCGACAGAAGCAACCTGCGACCAACTGCCCGACAAGGTTGGCAAGTACTCGAAGCGAATCGACGTATCGCTACCAGGGAAACACACGAAGGTAAAGTATGATCAGCTCGGGCGCAAAGAGGCTAGTATACTTGTGCAGCTGCGGACGGGCATGGCAAGAGTTAACGACTATACACCGCATCCAAGCGGCACTATATGATCTACGTACCTGCAGACGGACCCGAGAAACGATAGAGCATTTCCTTTTCATATGCACCCAGTGGACAGAGCAACGCAAGGTATTGCAAGAGTGTACGACTTATAGTAATTACGACAGGGTATTATGTATAACTAAAGCTTACTATAGTACATGCTTTTGTGGTTTGTGATTGAGTCCTTTCATCGCTAGACATATGGCGTGCGATCCATCTCTGCGACGGCACGTGACTATAGGGTAGGGTGAAATAAGTACCAGGATAACTATCGGCAAGTCTGCGACCGCGCGGACCCCTTCTGATCTTGTTCTGGAAGAAAGATATGTATATTGGGGCGTGAATAATACTATATGGTGTGACGTGCGTTAGGTGCCAGCAGCGTTCTTCCTGTCCATAACAACAGCGACATGTGATGTGCACTCTGACTCTCTTCATTCCATACCCAGCCTTTTTTGACCAAATTGTCATGGAATTCCGCTAGTTCTCTGAACTGGCTTCTTGTGAGATGGCAAGAGAGCGCTTCGCCGTGAGGCTCCCTCGTCAGCAGATGACTCTCGTCGTACACCGGGGAATAGCTCACAATGGATAGGGGAGGTGTGAGACACACTAAGGGCATGCAGAAGGCATATGTCCACAAAGAAGTGCTGGTGTCAGATTTGGAATATAGCTCGGAGTTTTAAAGGATTTCTTCAACTTTGAAACGCTTGCCAGGGTTCTTGGATGCTACTTCGAGAAGGAAAGCCAGAAGCTGGCAGTTTTGCGAAGGTGTGTGGTCCAGGATAGGCTCTTCAGGCAGACCATGATTTCCCAACACGCTCAAGAGCCGTGCAATTGCGTGAAGCCGAGTAGTGTTCGAGCTAAGCAGGTCGAGATTTTCACAGACCATTTTCCAGATTCCCGGGGCATTGAGCTGGAGCAGTCGCGACTTCCTGCTCATGGCTTGACCATAGCACCGAACGGTATAATAAAGGAGGGCTTCGGCCGGTTCTTGAAGGCAATCCCATCCAACCTCACCACGTCTCAGTGCTTGTAAACCGTAGTAACATCAGAGTATAACTTACATGGATTTCTTCTCGCGGAATTGCAATCTCAACTTGAACATGTGGAGCATGGTAAAGAGTGCGCATACGCCTGCCCAGCCAGACGCCATGTCCTTTGTCCTTGTATGCCCTGTAAGCAGTGATGCGTGTCAAGAAGCGAGCCGACGAAGAACCTTTCAACTTGAGTCGCTGCTCGAAGATAAATCTTTCTTTCTAGTTCGTGCGCTCTTTTCGTCTCTGTGAAGATTACTGGGACGATACTGACCTTGACATTGCTGGGGAAAAGTTGGCCTCGAAGCTTTCCATGGTCGTTGAGATAACTCAGATCCGAGTCCAATATAAGATACACATCCCAGCTGCTCTCTGAGTTCTCGGAGCCTGAGGTTGCCTTGTGGTTGATGGACGGCATGGGAATGACTATAATCCCTCGAGTGTCTCGGGGTCGTCGTTTGTAGTTCAAGATGTACGATGAATGAGAGAAGGTCACTCAGCAAAGTGGGCATGGACTTGCATTTATACTCACCTGCTGGCCAATACTCAGAGGGGTACCAGTGCAGGCAATGCCATAGGCTGAAGAAAGTTCAAGACACAGGACTAGTAGATGCTTCAATCAATGTGGCAGATGAGCTTTGGCGCAGCAGCAGGGCAGCAGGCAGCAACCATATCGATATTCTCCGGTGGATATTATCATTCACCTAGGCCACGGGTCCTCTCCGCTCTCCATCATACCTGAGACCTCAAGTAGTACGACGGCACTCACGAGATCTGGCATCCAATGGCATTACAACGGCAGGGTGTCTGGGTATTCAGGCTTCGCAGCTCCACCAGATTTCAAGGCATCCTCCCGTCTTTGTCCGCGTTCCCGTAGCTGTTCTTGTCGTTTCATCGCTAAAGAAAGTCAGCGAAAACTTTATGGTTCGGCACCGCTAAGCGTACCCCAAGCGCGCGCCTGGCTTTGCACCGAAGGATCAACCCAGCTGTACAAGGCAGCCCTCTCCGGATGCCGACGTGCGAGGCCGACGTCATCATCCGGCGGCGCTTGCGCGCCTTTGAGATTGAATTGCAAAGGTTTCGTGGCGTCTCTCTCGCCGAAGAGAAGGAAACCCTCGGCGTCCCACATAGGGATATGCATGTTAGTCCGGTAGTAGCACCCTTGGAGGCAAGGAACAGTTCGTTCCTGCCGGAAGGTCATCGCAAAGGCGTCTCTGACTTTGTTCCAAGACCACTTCATCTCGTGACGGGCATAGATAATGAAGTCGGACTGCTCGACTGTGTACCTTTTCCCATGCGCTAGGGAACGACCGCGGCGCAGAGGCTTTTTCCGCTTTGTGAGCCATTGGACGCCTGCATCAAATTCGGCAAGGCTTGGAAGCCGACCAGGCAAGAAACTGCTCATTGCGTGGGTTTGTAGCTGGAGAATTGTCGTCGCTCATAGACCGGCCCTATGTAGTCTGGTTAGACAGACAGTGGCAAGTTGCAAGCCTGACCAGAATTAAATAGTGTCGAGCACAATGCCCCGGGGTGTGCTCCCTGGGTCCATCCGTTTGTGGCCGCTCCTTGAGTATGACGCGCGGTCTTGGTACAAGGAAGCAGGCTGATGCGGACGATGAGCGGACATGTCATCAGTGAGTCGACGATCGGATGTTTCAGCATTCTTCAGAGTCAACGGCCACTTTGTAAGCAATCGGCCACCGCTGCAAGCTCCCAGCCTCCTTGGACTTAGTTGAGATCGAGCCTGGTGACCGAAACGTGCCGCATTCTCCCCCGTCCAGAAGGTCGTCGGTGCCTGCATGCTTGTTGTGGACCACCACTTCCATGAAGCTCGGGCACTTCCAATCATTCACTGATGCTTGAGGAAACCCGATGCGGACACCGCTCAGGGTAGTCTAATTGACAGGCACAATGCAGCCGTTCCAGTCACAGCTCCCTGTGACCCACTGTGACTGCCACCCGGCAAGCAGCCAAAGCACTACTCGTGCCGCGCCCCACCACCTCGTTAGGTGGTGCTGGACACACCAACGAACAGATCACACCAACGGACACTTTTCACCACGATCACTTCAATCTCGCGATAATGTCGCCGCCAACGCGTTCAAGGGCTATTTCGGCTGTTGAAATACGTGTCGGAGAGGCTCTTCAGTATCTTGAGCAAAATTCTAACGCGAAATTAGCTACGGTTGCGCGACAATTCGATGTCCCGCGTAGTCGCTTGTTGCGCCGTCAACGTGGTGTGCCAACGCGTTTCGACCGCCCTACCTTCAACACGAAGCTATCTCGAGAAGAAGAAGCCGCTATCTGTCGCTATATCGATCGTCTTGATAGTATTAACTTTGCCGTGCGCGCTGAGTTTATTACTGATGCTGCCAACAACCTTCTAGCCGAGCGATACGGGCCTAACCATATCGAGACTGTCGGCACGCGTTGGACCACACGCTTTATTCAACGCCACGGTTATACAAGGCTTCTTCAACGAAAGATCGATCAGAATAGGAAGGCTGCGGAAGACACATAACGAACGAGCGAATATTTCGAACGCCTACGTGAGGTTATAGCCCTACGCGGGATCCCACCAGAAGATATATGGAATATAGATGAGACAGGCTTCCGGATCGGCATAGGGAAGGATCAATTGATCGTGACCAAGCGTAAGAGGCTTCATCTCTTTGGCATGCCCGAGAATAGGGAGTCTGCCACTGCGATTGAGTGTATCTCTGCTGCTGGCGCTGTGATTCCGGCCTTCCTGATCCTTACGGGCCAGGTACACATGGATCAGTGGTATCGGTTGCCCGAGCTAAGCCCTCACACGAAGATCACACTATCATCATCAGGCTATTCGAACGATCAAATAGCCCTATCGTGGATCAAGCACTTTAACGAGCACACTGCCGGCGCGGCTAAATCAGCATATCGGCTCTTGATTATCGATGGTCACGGGTCACACCACACAAAAGAATTCATCGATTATTGCGCTAAACACAAGATCATTCCCTTTGCTCTCCCTCCACACCTCACACACCTATTACAACCGCTAGATGTGGTGGTCTTCCAGCCGTTGAAACACTATCACGCTAAGGCTCTTGATATAATCGTTCGGGACGGTGTCGTCAACGTTACGAAGCTTGAATTTCTCTCACTAATTGAGGGTGTGCGCAGACAAGCATTCACAACCAACACGATAAAATCAGCCTTCAAAAAGACCGGCATCTGGCCCTTCAACCCTAACCTTATGATAGAGGTTGTGAGGGAGCGTGAGGCTGCTACTCTACGAACACCATCGCCACAGCCCTCATTACTAGCTTCATCGGACTTCGAGACCCCCGTCACGCTACGGCAGATCAATAAGGTGGCTAGTCGGATCGGTGAGGTGATGACCTTGATGAGCACTTCTCGTGGGATATCGACCGATTCATCCGCGGTGCCCTCACAACCGCCGCCGAGCTTGTGCAGGTGAAGAGGGACCTATCGCGCACCAAGAAGGCCGAATTAATGCAACAACAACGCCGCGCGATGAAGAATCGACCCCTTCAATCCGGCGGCGTATTAACGGTCGCAGAAGCCCGTGATATGGTGGTCCAACGCGATAAGGAAGAGTTACTGAAGGCCCAACGGCTAGTTGATGCAGCCTATAAGAAGGAACAGAACAAGTACAAACGGAATGCTTTCGAGGCCGCGAAAAAGGCTCGTAAATGGCGCATGGATAAGGTCACGGCTCCCCTCGAAATTTTCGATGATAATGGTGTTCGTCGTGTGCGAAGGGGTTAATTGATGATATTCGTGCTGCAAGGTGTCCGTTGGTGTGATCTGTTCGTTGGTGTGTCCAGCACCACCTAACGAGGTGGTGGGGCGCGGCACGAGTAGAAGAATCACACCCACTCGGATCCAGCCGCGTCGTGCGCTTCACTGTGGCTGTGAGCGTGCAGGCATCCTAGCCGGAGGTCACAGAGAGCTTGGCAGAGGGGGGAGCCAAGCCAGATGCTGGCGGAGCATCACACCCTCTCAGTGTGATGGCTGCCACACGACAAGAAATCCCGAGGCAGGTACCCGCAATGATGGCGGAGCCGCCACACCCTCTCGTCTCAAATCTTGTGATGGTCAATTGTGGCTGCCACATTGAAAGGTCATCAGTCATGGGTAGCCTGGCCCGTACAGGAGCCCCCAGGCAAGGCATCATACCCACTCAGATCGTGGCTGCGAGCCCCAGTGGAGCGGCTAGATAGACATGACGGCTCTCGGAGCCAAGTGGCTGCTTGGAAATGACTGGGCAATGAGGCCTCTCCCATTAAGTCAGGATCACGCGTCATGATCTAAAATAGGGCCAAGAAGGATTGACCTAGGCAGCACAGTACTTTAGCAAAGGTAGAGAAGATCTCGCAGAGTAGTGGAAGTCGAACCTGAGCCGTAAGCAGTAGCCCAGTGTTCGCCGAGTTTCGCCTTTCCATACCTCTGATCTAGCGTAGCTTCTGGCAACGAGTCTTCATGCTGTTTGGAGATGGGTTCCCCAACCCATGGCTGTAACCCTACACACTAATCTCGCATTCCGTCATGATTTCGGCGCGAAATGACTAGTCGTGTCCGTTTCTGTCCAATGGAAGCCTTGTCCCACCTTCTCCATTTGGTATACAATGATTTGCTGGGAGAAGATGGATATGCTTGCATCGTATGGTCCAACAGTGGCTAGTACAGGCCGCTAATCTGAGACGATCGAGTTGAATCTGGCTTCTGCATGGCATCCTGGGATCCGATTTCCCATGTCGTGGACGGCCCTTGTACCCCGCGCACGCCCTGAAGATCTCCTCCCGTCTGGTTCGTTCCCAAAATGGCTATGGGTGTGGACCGTGATGCACGTATCGCAGCCATATCGGCAATCGCCTGCCCAGGGCTACTGTACTCCAGCCGGAAAATAACGTCTATAGTTAAGTATAAACTGAACATGGGCGACGCTCAACCATCAACAAGTACTGAGGCTGATTACACGGCGCGATTGACACCAAAGCTAGCAAGATGTCCGCCATTGACATGCAGCTGATTATTAGCTTCCTCCGGGCAACTGCTTCATTTATTGTCATCTATCAACGCAATGCACATCGCTTGGCGCACGTCGACAATCGCCTGACAGCAATTCTTCTCCTCAGTCAGTCCACTATGCATGAACTGGAGCGGGAACTTCGTGCAACTGGCACAAGCCTGTCTCCACCAGACTACGCCGCTTGTGTCGCTGACACGGCCAATGACCAAACACAGTTGTCTGCCCCTGGCATGCCACTTGTGCCTAGAACTTCTGGACCGTTTGCAGGTGGGCTATGCGTAGCCAAAGGAACCCCTTGGTCAGAGCCCCACGACGTTTTGTCCACGCGTTCGGCTGGGCCCGATGACGACGGTACTTTTACCGACCAGTATCCCCAGTGTGGCTCTCCCATCACGCCATCGATTGACCAGATACCTTATGCAGTACCACCACAAGTGTGCGACCCGGTGTGTGGTGGGGGAGACGAGGGTCCGACATGGCATGAGGAATCGACTGGCCTCCAGCAGAGCGACAACCTATCCCCATGCAGTGATTGCTCGTGTCAGAGCGTCGAACGACACGATACAGCGGTGGAATCGCATTCCGATGAGTTTGAGAGGTGCGGCATCGTTGATTCAGTCCCTGCCGCTCAACAACACCAGGGCTGGCACCTAAATGACAACCATGAAGCATCGAGATCGCTTCCAAGCCCGATATGTCCTCAAGAGCCACTTTCAGCAAATTATCGCGATAAACCCGTGTTCGCTCTCCCTAGCTGCACGGTATATCAGCACGTTACGGCGCTCGAGGCGCCACACACGCTACTCCCTATAGCCTCTTTGGAAGACACTTCGCAGAATTGGGATGAAAACCATCTCATCACCCCGATTGCGACAGACACCGCTCATCCAAACAGTCCGCCTAGACGAGGATGTACGACCCTGCCTCCCATCAGCCGCCGACACGTTCCGATATCTGTGAAGGAAATCAGAACGCCCGAAAGTGACGAACCCGATGTCCAGCACGGCAGCTCGAGGCGGTGGGTGCAGAAAGTCACCGGAAAGACATTGAGAATACAAAGCACAGGCTTGGAAAAGTCAACTGTCGTGGAGGTGAGTTGTGGAAATAGTGGAGAGTCTGTCGTGTTGCGGTGCCATGCCTATAAGAGGTGGAAATGGCGAGGACAATACCGCGGTGGGTGGCTTGCGGTAGAGTTGAAGGCGTTGCTCAAGACGATTCGCAACAAGTCTGACGAGCAGATATACGGTGTGCATCTCCATGCTCAATAGCGCAGGGAGAAATAGCTTGCTCTCACTTGTATGTGGCCGTGTTATTTATAAAAGGGATGGCATTGCGTAGACACTTGATGGGTAGATTGCATAGGTACGACA